GAACCCCTTACCCAAGGGCCATGAAATTTACGATTTTGGGAGAGGCACACTTGCTCACAATAACTATGCACTTTGTTTGCTTAGTAACCTGGAGCAGAGAAGAAGATTTTCAAAGAATTAATGTATTTTCACCATATAATCAACGGAGACCCGCCCAAATACCAGAGGCCCTAGACCCAGGGCCGAGAAATTTACAATTTTGGAAGAGGCACCCTTGTTCATCATAACCATGCACTGAGTATGTTTGCTAAATACCCAGGGGCAGAGATGTTTTTCTAAGATATATGCAATTTTAACGATATATTCAATAGAGTCCCGCTCTTACACCAAAACCCCTGACCAAGGGGCTATGAATTTCATAATTTTGGGAAAGGTATCCTTGCTCATCATAACCATGCAATAAGTTTGCTTAATTCCCAGGGACAGAGAAGATATTTAAAGAATTTATGCATTTTCAATATCTGATCAAAAGAGCCCTGCTATAATACCAGAACCCCTGACCCAGGGGTCATGAAATTCACACTTTAGAAAGAAGCACCCTTGCTCATAATTTCACAATTTTGGAAGAAGCATCCTTCCTCATCATAATTATGCTCTTAGTTTATATACTAAATACCCAGGAGCAGAGAAAAAGATCTTCAAAGAGTTAATGCATTTTCACTATATAATCGAGCCCCGTCCTAACACAAGAGCCCATGATCCAGGGGCCACAAATTTCACAATATTGGAAGAGACATCCTTGCTCATCACAGCCATGCACCTAGTTTATCTGCTGAATATACAGGGGAGAAAAGAAGATTTTTAAAGAACTTATGCATTTTCACTATATGATCATTAGAGCCCCGCCCTAACTCCAGAACCGCTGATCCTTGGGTCATGAATTTCATAATTTTGGTAGATGGGTTCAATGCTTATTACAATCATGCCAACAGTTTGACTGCTTGATGTGCAGGAGTAAAGAATATTTTTTAAAGATAGCACTAATTTAAACGGTTTCAGTCCAACCCTTCAGGCTACAGAGGACAGGGACGTGAAATTCACAATTCTGTACCCTTTCACTCATAGATGCTATATGTCAAAATTGGTTGAAATTGGTTCAGCTGTTCAAAAGAAGTTGAAAATGTTCAAAAGGTTACGACCGACGGACGACGACGGACAGAAACAGATAGCAACAAGAAGTCTGTGAGCCAATGCTCACTAATAATACCCCCACTCTGATGTAAATACACAAGTTCATTTATGGACAGACACAGGGATAAACAGGAAGTTGACATCAGATTCGTACAAAAATAAATTCCACCATATGATATGCCTAAACGAAGAGTGTGCTAAACTCTCAAGCATCTGCGATAAATAGATGCTGAGAAAACTGCGACCAAAATTTGCTATATTTGGTACGGTCAGATAAAAAGGAAGTTGACATCAGTTTCGTACAAACATTAATCCCACCATATGGCATGTCTTAACAAAGAGTGTGATAAAACTTCTAGCAACTGCGATGAATAGTTGCTGAGAAAACTGCGACCAAAATTTGTTATGTATGGTACGACAGACGCACTGATAAACAGGAGCTTGACATCGTATTCTCACAAAAATGTATCCCACCATATGACATGCCTAAACAAAGAGTGTGCTAAACTTTCAAGCATCTGCGATAAGTAATTGCTGAGAAAACTACGACCAAAATCTGTTATGTATGGAACGGACAGACGCACGGATAAACAGGAAGTTAACATCGGATTCGCACAAAAATGAATCCCACCATATGGCATGCCTAAACAAAGAGTGTGCTAAAATTTCAATCATCTGTGATGAGTAGTTGCTGAGAAAACTTCGACGAAAATCTGTTACGGACAGACACACGGACACACAGACAGCTAGACAGAGAGACGGACACACAAGAGTAAAACAGTATACCCCCTCTTCTCCGGAGCGGGGGTATAATAAATCACCTGAGTGACTCAGGTAACCTAAAAAAAAAAGGTAAGGATCGTCACTTTAAGTCCCATTACTTCTTCATTGCACTGCATTTTTTTTTCCTTGAAATGATTTTCTTTCCAAGATGGTAGCGCGTTCGCTTCGTGATCGGAAGACCCGGGTTCGATTCTCGTTCGCCGTTCCGCGTCAAACCTAAGACATAAATATAGGAAGTGACTGTTTCTTCGCCAAGCGCCCGGCACTAGAAGTGAGAGTCACAGGCCTTTCGAATGAGACCTTGAAAACCGAGGTCCCGTATCACGGTAGGCGTTGGCACGATAAAGAACGCTCACTACTTAATGGCCCTAAGTGCCGAGTGTAGGTCTAAATTTGAAGCACTTCACCGACATAGGGTGGCGTATCTCTATGAGTGAAAAATTCTCGAATGTGTCGTAAAACGACATACAATCAATCAATCCAAGATGGCACTTCTTATGAAATGGAAGCTTTGCATTCATTAATCATAATTATGAGTTGATAATCTTATATTCACTAATCGTGAAACTATATTTATCAGATAAACTATGTTTTCGTTAACGTAACGTAAAATTTAAAGTAAATTGTAAACCATAGTTAACTAATAGTGAAACTGTATTTATGAGATAAATCATGTTTTGCAATTGCAAATAATTGTTTTGACTGTTTCAGCTGAACACGATTCGTAAAAGGATTTGTACGCTACATTCTTTTATTTAGTCGTTATATCTGAGGACCCTATATAAGCCATTCACTTAGTCACTGTTCAGTGTAATCAGTTGTCACCTGTGTAGACGGACGTACGCTACAAAGCTATGGTACAACACTCGGTAGCGACAAAAATAAGAAGTCTGTGAGCCAATGCTCACTAATAATACCCCCGCTCTGATGTGAATACACAAGTTCAGTTATGGACAGACACAGTGCTAATCAGGAAGTTAACATCGGATTCGTACAAAAATAAATCCCAACATATGGCATGCCTAAACAAAGAGTGTGCTAAAATTTCAAGCATCTGCGATGCGTAGTTGCTGAGAAAACTGCCACCAAAATATGTTATGTATAGTACAGACAGACGCACAGATAAACAGGAAGTTGACATCGGATTCGTACAAATATGAATTTCACCATATGGCATGCCTAAACAAAGAGTGTGCTTAAATTTCAAGCATCTGTGATGAATAGTTGCTGAGAAAACTGCGACCAAATTTTGTTACGGACAGACACACAGACAACAGACAGACACACAAGGGTAAACAGTATACCCCCCTCTCCTTCGGAGCGGGGGTATAATAACTGTATGCATCTTCTACGGTAGGAGCGAAAGATTCCAAAGAAACTTACAACAGTTGCACAGGTCAGTGCAGTATACAAACAAACACAAACGCTCGTTAACTGCAATAAAATGTAAACAAAGGTAATATAAGATCATCAGCACGAACACTTGTCGTCCATTCCACGCAGGTACCCGTGACAAGAAAGCAGTCAGGTGCAACGAAGTATATCCAGTGCTGATATCGAAGATAGTAAAACTAATATGGGGTATGCCTATTTACGAGTCGTTTTCAGCTTTAAGTATAGATGGAGGGTAAACTACCGTTAAGGAATGTTAAAAATAGATTCACTACATTTATTATAGTTTATGCTTCGTAAACTATATATATAGTTTACATTTCATAAACCAGATTTAACACTGTAAAACAATGTTTAGTTCATTTTGTGACTCTGGTGTGCTAATGAAATATATGGAGATAACGAACAGTATTCAAGCTCAAAAGTCCATCAAACAATACAAAATAGGAGCAGAGCAAACACGGACCTCTAAACATCAGAGGTGGGATCAGGTGCCATGGAGGAGTGAGCATCCCCTGCCGACCGGTCACACCCGCCGTGTGCTCCCTGTCATGATCGGGAAATAACGGAAAACTCCGTCGACAATTCAGTGTGTAAATAATGGCCTAACAATTAGTATGTAAAACGTCAGTCAGCATAAAAACTTTAAAGATTGGCGAACAATTAAGAAAGTGAAAAATTAAATCTCAGTTATAACAAAATTCTCTTTGATATTTCATCTAAATTAACTTATACTATATATAAAATCTCCACAATTTGCAAAATTCTCACAAAAATTGATATCAACCGTCTATGAAATAGCATACACACCCCAAAGAGGGCAAAAATGATCATTTCTTCATACTATAACACAATTTTTCCATATGAGTGGGTCTCCGCTCCATTTGTTTTTGAGAGTTTGTCCTAAAAGTATACGTAAAAATACACATTTGTTGGTTAACAAAAACATGGGGAAAAAACCCAACTATACCTTAAAAATACAATTTTATGACCTGTATTTTCTGGTAAAATACATGCACATGTAATTTTTGCAACCTTATACATATATCCCTACAAAAGTTAGAGATTCGAACTTGATCTTCAGATATCCTACGACGTATGCATAAGTCAAATTTGATTTGAATGTGTGCAACTGTTGCCGAGATGTCATTGATGACGGAATGACGGAACAGGGTAACACTATATGCCCCAGCCATTTTATGGCGGGGGCATAATAAAAGTGATATACTGCCACGGTGTGAAAGGATACCAAAGGATATTCTGTCACATTGTGAATCACAGTAAGTTAAAATGATATCTGTAAAGTTAAAGTTAAGGCTATATATTAGTTCAAATCTGCTTAGCATCGTACAAAAATATTACGTCATTTAATTGTAGAGAATGCAGTGTCAATCAGTTTCATAACTGCTTGATTAACTCGAAGAATCAACAAACTTTTTTTCTTCTTTTACGGTGAAGAATTATGTAACGTTATGTTTTCATGTGTCGGTAATAGAGAAGCAAAGCATCGCTGTAATGACCGACAGATACAGGGAGTTCAGTAATCCCGGAAATGATGCCGGATATCTCGAAAAGGGCGCGTTCTGATCTACAAAGGGCTTACAAGTTTCAGGTATGTGGTAATGGCGCTATACAATGAGACAATCAATGCACCAGGACTCTTCATTATGATCACAGCACAGATAACTCACATATTTACAATCAGCAACGTGGTTTAATGACATTACAGAAATGCAATGTGACAGTGGAATTCTACATAGCACATGATAAACAATAAAAACATGGTGAACTAAGTCAGGTCGTAATCACGTGACACCTGTTACATCAGATCCGAATCTCTTTGACAAGATTAGATTTGGATTTTCATTCCAGGTGAATGACACAGTCCAAGAAAATCCGTCCTCGTTCCACAGCCGACTAGCTTACTAATTATCCACTAAAACATTACTGGCAATCAAAAACAATTCCCTTGACATTTTTACTTTGATTGATTATGTCACATTCATAACATTTTTTACTTACAAAAACTGCACTTATTGTCCAATAGACAAGCTAGGATGAAGTTAATATTCAAAATAAAGTATTAAGAAATATGGAACTCACAGCATCTTAAGGTATAATCATAACATTAATTAAATATCATAAATAATACGTACAATTTAATATAATACATAATACTAAATAATATAAATAATTGTCAGCAAACATAAAACCTGATATGTAATAAAAAGCGAATTCATTCTCAGAACAAGAGGTAAGCTAGTCTAGCATGCGCGAGGAGGATTAACCTCAGCAGCCTGTGACTGTGGGGTCAAGTCCAGATCTCTTAGTGATGTGAAGTTTGACGATTTCCTCTGCTGATGTAGGATGTATTCCTACGCTTCCAGATATATTTTGCCAGGTTGCCCCGCATCTTCAACAAAATTGGTATTGTTTACATTTTATAAAGCAGATATTGGCATTACTTATTAATGACAATCATGAACCCAAAAGTATCATTTTCGGAAAAAAAGATGACTTTAACTCTCCTGGTCCCAAGACCATAAACTGAGAATAGACTTTAGTCAAAATTTTGATTTTTAATATCTTGAGTTTTATCTAATCTATTTGCTTAAAATTCTGCAATTTTATATAACATTTAAATTCAAATACATGATGAAAATTTTGTTTCATTATCTAAATTATTTCAAAAGTTATATAAGTCTGAAATTTTGACTTAAGTCTGTTCTCAGTTTATGGTCTTGGGGCCTGGTTTGACTTCATAATAATCGATGCAGTCAACTTCTGTACCAGAATTAATTGAATAGTGAGCACCTCGAGATCAATACCCATGCACATTTGGTTTGGGTAAAATTTATAGTTAATTGGGAATGGATATGCTCCAAAAACTTTAACCTATTCACTTATCTGGAAAATGTAGGTCAGATCCAGCATCCGAAGCAAGTTTGGTAGTGTCCATCTTTAAATGCAAAATCAATGCAATTTGATCAATATAAGGCTGAGAGTTACTTGGAAATGTACCTACTTCAAAAACTTTACCTTGGTCATTCATCTGGAAAATATAGGTCAGATCCAGCATTCGAAGCAAGTCTGGTAGTGTCCACACCTAGATGCATCTGGTCTGGGTAGGGTTTATCGTTACTTCTGCTCCAAAACTATATCTTGGTCACTCATTCGGATCCAGCATTCGAAGCAACTCTGGTAGTGTCCATCCCTAGATGCATCATCCATGCAAGTTTGGTCTGGGCAGGACTTATAGTCACTTAGGAATGCACCTGCTCATAAACTTTATGAGCGTAAGCTCATATCGGTGAGCTAAAAACCCATACTTAGAATTATGAATCTTAATATCCCTGAAATCGAATGAAACTTGAAATTATAACAAAAAATCGTTATAAGGACAAAATTCTGGACCCCTGGAAACATCAGAGATGGGATCAGGTATCTTGGAGGAATAAGCATTCCCTGTCTACTCATCACACCCGCCGTGAGCCCTCTCTATTGATTAGGAAAACAGAGTAATCCGTAAACTTGGCATAAAAACAGTGGCCTAAGTAACAATGGGTATGAAACATGTCAGTCAAAATACGACCCAACGGCAGGTTGTACTCGCAAACAAGGTCATTAATACGACCATTGTACTTGCAAATGCTGCCGTTAAACCAAACATCATCTTATTTGCCAGTACCCTGTCTTGGTTTGAAATTGATCGTACACAGAACGTGCTCTTGCCAACCGAATCAGTTGGAAGTCGGCAACATAATAGGTGACTGTGAAATATTAGTACGTAAAATGGGAAAGTTGACGATGGAAAAGCTGAAGTCATCCCGTTTGTCAAAAAACGTCAGTAAAACGTCCAAATATGCAACAGATTTGACAGACTCTTCGGTGTCTTTTATTCCGAGTTCATTGGTTTTGGATAGACTGAGTCGACAACTGTTGTAAATTGACAAAAAGTCGTCGATCTAATGCCAAATCGAAGGGCACAGCAAGGGCAAACCCGGCCTTTCAATGAACTAAATTAATAGTAAAGCACCGATACTACGTGCCTGAGAAAATCAAGTCTTTAATTTTCTTGAGAAATAGCCGTATACAGAATTTCACAGTTTATTCCTTTTAAGTAACCTGACAAGACTGCTCATCGTAATCGAAAAAAAAACCTATAGAGTTACAAAAAATAATGTATCATAGTGTAGTTTACCGTCATACAAAGATGTGTTGAAATTGGACTTAAAATGACTTATTCTTTTTTCAGTAACAAAGTCCAGATCGCTCATCGCAATCAAAAACCCATAGGAAGAATTATATATCCTATTGCAGTATTCTTTTGTACTCAAAAAAATGTTGAAATCGGACTAAAATAGACTGAGTCGACAACTATTGTAAATTGACAAAAAGTCGTCGATCTAATGCCAAATCGAAGGGCACAGCAAGGGCAAACCCGGCCTTTCAATGAACTAAATTAATAGTAAAGCACCGATACTACGTGCCTGAGAAAATCAAGTCTTTAATTTTCTTGAGAAATAGCCGTATACAGAATTTCACAGTTTATTCCTTTTACGTAACCTGGCAAGACTGCTCATCGTAATCGAAAAAAAAACCCATAGAGTTACAAAAAATAATGTATCATAGTGTAGTTTACCGTCATACAAAGATGTGTTGAAATTGGACTTAAAATGACTTATTCTTTTTTCAGTAACAAAGTCCAGATCGCTCATCGCAATCAAAAACCCATAGGAAGAATTATATATCCTATTGCAGTATTCTTTTCTACTCAAAAAAATGTTGAAATCGGACTAAAACTGTAGGAGAAAGAGTACTTTTGATTTTTGAATGAATTTCACATATTATTTCAATTTTTGAAAACAATCCCACGCAACACTGTTCATACAAATCAAATACATATAAGCACATTAATGTTCATATCTCGGTGTAATTTTATTGGGTATCGAAATTTCTTGATTTATGAAGAAAGCGGACCAAGACTTAAGGAGTAGCAATTTGGAAGGTTTTAATTTTGTGTACCAAGTTTTATTGAATTGAAGAAGTAGTATTTTGATTTTAAAAAAAAAATAGAGAAAACAACTAGACAGACAGACAAAAGAATGATGGAACCTTACCAATGTTTAAGCTCTTCTTGTCTCATACCATTTAAGTATTACAAATGACATTAATAGCTTTGAATTCACCAAAATCCAAATACCGTCTCGTTAATTTGGTTATGAAAGCTAATAATATCCCTAATTACTCACCTCTAAAATTAACATAGAAATCATCTATAATTCGCAAAATTTTACGAGAACATAGATATCTGGTGTACCAAAAAGTCGTGTTAGATAAAATAATGTTTTTGTATCTATATAGAGCATCTGTGGATCTGTGTTTCTGGTTTAGTTACCTTAAAGCCACTGCGAATCCCTGAATAACTTCACCGGCATTCGGACCAATCAGATGTAGTCCTAACACACTGTCACCAAAACAAACTGCCTGTAATTCAATAAATTGCAACCGTTTTCTTTAAAAAAGTACAAAAAGTACAATAGAATGACGACAGAAATTGCATCCTTAAAAAATACAAAATATAAATAAATCGCCATTAGAAAATATGGCCCTAAGAAACAGCTGAGTGACATCATCAACGCTAGGGGTAATTCTTATAAGATGGAATATAAAAAAACAGAAAAGTCAAAGGTTGCTGTATAAAACCCATAAGTCTGTAATTATTCTCATTAAAGGCGGCGGAATGGTCTTATTACGCAGCCCTCTACACATCATTCAAACTAATTGTTATGTTAAACAGAATTTCATTAAAGTATCTACATTACTCACTCTTCTTATGCACTATTCAGCTTCAAAATTAATAGACAGCAAAAAAAGAGTACAAAAAGCTATAATACAGACAGGGAGCAAATTAAGTAAACAAAAGAGATAGATACAGAGATACACAAAAAGTGTAATATTACATTTATAACATCTAGCTGCTGACAGCAGCACGCCTTGTGAGGGTTTGAGAGTCTGCAACATCAACCGCAATCATCGTATGATTAACACTAATGCGGTGTCGACACGGTTCGTAACCTCACTTCCCCACCTCACTCTGTATAGTTATCTGTCTCAGAAAGCGCATCAGCAGTTTTAAATTGATGCGCTTTTTGAAGCAGGTTCACTTAGTGTTTTCAACTTAACACATATCATTCATGTTTTGGCTTCAAATACATAATGACACAGACTTTCAAACTTGAAACAGATGGCCTATCTCTAATAAACGTTAAGCGGAGAACTGCTCTAATTATCATGTCAATGTTTTACAAAGCTTCTGAAATATCAAACAGGTTGCTACAGCTGCAGGTGGCAAATTTTTCTACAGATTTTAACATTAAAAGAAAGGGTTTTTTGATTTGCTTAATAACCTCAAGGTTAGACTGCGGTGCTTCTCATGAAAAATTTACCATTATGACTGACATCACTGATTTCAGTCAAAAAAAGACCTAACCATGTGGGACAAATCTGAGGGAGACAGTTCATTTCTTTGATGAACCCAGGAACAACAAAACAATCTGGCATAAACTGTGCATACATCATACTTTAAACTCTGTATGTGACACATCCTCCTCTTTTATGTTAAAAGAAAAACTCAAGAAAAGGGATGTATTTGCAACAAATTCATCAATAAAAGACTAAAGAACTATCTAAACATTGTATTTTTAACAACAAACAAAAATCAAAGCTATACTAAATCTGTTTTATACCGAATCACTCTTGGTTTCTAAGTTTATCCGATGTTCTACAAAGTACACTGTGCTCTTCAAAGTTAAAAAAAGAGACAGATTTCATCTAAATTAATATAAATTTACTCCAAGTGCAGGAGAAAACGTCTTAGTATGTTTAAACATGCTATGTGTTCTTTAAGTTTTCACTGTCCGATGCTTCATCAAAGCCAAAATGTAAGTAAAAGATAACATGTAACTATGACACAGCATAATGACAAGCAAGAGAGAGAATTATAAGATTAGAAAACTTCTTTCTATCAGACAGGCACAGGAAATTTGGAGACAAAATTGTCAAGATTCATCGTGCCTCACGTTTTGTATAACTGCACTGAATAAAGTTGAAACATAAATTTCTGTATCTCAGCCGAATAATCTGGTATATAAAGTACTGCAGCAAAAATTTAAACAAACATACACACACACAATTTGAATTATCGGTTTTTATTTTTGAGTTTTCTTTTTTTTCCTTCTTTTGTTGGTCAATCCTTTGCAGTACTTCGATCAGCTTAAATGTACAAGAAGTTAGTTTTCATTTGCCTACCTTGATGTAGCACTGTGACGAATTTCTTTGAGGAACTACGAACTCCAGAGGTGTATAAAATGCATGAAAAACCTAAAAATTAATTAAAATTTTGTTAATTTTAAGCAATTAAATACTGATAACACATATTGACTCATTAGTGAAAGGTAATCAAAAGTTCAGAGAACCACAATGCGTCGCTTTGCTTTGAACGAACTCCTCCCCCTTCCCCATTTTTCCCACTAACCTTAAATCTGCACAACAAAGGAAAACTTTTGTACAAATTTATATAATTTCTAGCAAAGTAACTATTAAGAATCTAATATTTAAATGATCTTATTCTCAGTGGTCCAGTTCTCCAATGCTAGGTGCCAAGTTTATTTTGAAGGGGCCAGAGGTTCTTACAGAGTAAAAAATATTGACTCTAGCTGCAGCTTAGGTGGGCCAAAGTTTGACACTAACGTCTTTTTAATATCTAATTTAATATTTACATGTTTTTTAGCATTATAAATTGCTCGTGAAGAAAAAGTGATGCATGATCTTTTGTTTTATTATTTTTTTTCCATTTTCAACTCGTTTAAGAAATTGTTCTCGCACTTCTTCGGAGGCGCCTTCCCCAAAAGGACACTAACTATTAAATATGCTTTTTCCACACATGCATTCTTTCTTTAACCACAATTTGAGTGATGTTCTTTAACCCTTTAAGATATAATTACATCTTTCACGAATCATCCTATTTCGAAATCAAATTTCCTTTCCTTCAAGCAAATATGCGAACAGAACAACCTTAAATATTTTAACATGATAAGAAAAGTACAAAGATAACACCAATATAAAATCAGCAATCACAAATGTTAAATTAGTGAAAGAACTAATCAAATTTTGCATAAACTGCGTGCATCAGGGTAGTGCATCTCCTATCCGGCAACAGAATTACTAAATTTCGATTTCCTTCAACCTTAAACTATTCACTTACACATTTCAATGAGAAATGCAAAACTCTTGTTTTATTCTGGAAGAAAATCCAATGGAATATCTAGTACATTGACTGATTAATATATTGATTAATTAATATACATGTATAAGGGACCATAATATTATACAATCGTCCTTGAAATAGCATACGTAACATGATACAGCAAACAATCAATCAGCAACATATTACGTTATGAAAAACAAGTCTTATCATTGGTCAATAAAGTAGCACGTGACTATATCAAAGTTAACTTTTTTTGAATTGAGCAACATTTAATCTCCAGACTAAACCTGTTCTGACAATGGATTTTTTAGCGTACCAATTATTTGATCTTTTATCCCATCATGGGAGAATAACAATTTCTGACCATTTAAATGATTATAATTTTCCGTCAATAGGTTATAAAATTATAATATTGGTACATGCTTCAATTCAGCACTCTGACAGATGCACAAACTTTAGAAATAATGAACCTGATATAATATTTGAGCAGCTGATCTCTTTTATTCAATTCAAACAGAAAAATCATTGGTCTCAGACCAGTCTGAAAACAAACACATAATTCAGTAGCCTTGTCTTCTGAATCTATCATTGTCTGGACAAGGGGGCTAACTTATAACCACTCTAATCACAGTCCTTACAGACAAAACAACCAAGGCCAGGGAAAAAATAGTAATTAGCTGGTCACGTTTAGATACTATTGACAATCTCTGCCTCTATGGGTCTGATGTTTGGGACTAAATCAATGACCTCACTTCTCGTTACTCCGGCTGCACGGGTGGATTGGATTATTTATAAGTATTTACGTCTTCTTTCAACCAGTGAAGATAAATTCAATTCCTCGAACTTGTAAACTATGCATTTCTTTCATAATACTTTATCAGTATTTCAAAGCAACTTTGTGACATGATCTATTATTATTATAACTTTCAGGATCATTTTCATCCTAGCAATTCAGCATTTTTCCATCATATTTCATACAGATGAGCCTGCTTTTGATTCTGGTGACGGGGCCGTCGCCTCGTCTACAACATTCGTTTCACCACTGCACACTAGTAGAGACGTCAATAAATGCGCCCTTGAGTTGACGGACTCCCGCGGTCTCTGTTTACTTGGTGTGACAATTTCTCACATCACAGTCTCTGAAGCAGTGGATCTATTTTATTGATATGCCGCATTGTTGTTAATTAGAGCACGTAATAGCGCTCTCATTGATTGTCATATTAAACAGATAAAGTTCAGAAACATTCTGCACTCAATGTTTGACATCAAACAAACATGCGCTGAAGTGCACAGCTAGCATTCCACTCGTTTGCTGACAAGGTCTGACATCTAGTAGTTATGTAAAAAGAGAACTCTTTGACACATTGACATAAACAAATGGATTAAATATCTTTACTGGCCAGTCTATGTTTATTAAATCAAAACCAATTCCTAAAGTCTGAATTAAAATTTGTCCGTTTTAGACGTGTACTAGTATTTTTAAGCTTTAAGAATTGCTCTTTACAGTAAAGTCTTCACGTGTATTCTTCCTTTATTCCCTTAACAAAAATATACTATAGTTAACTATAGTATCAAAGTTTTTACCATAGTACATCAAAGTTTTCACTATATGAATCACAGCATTTTTACTATAGATCTCAGATTGTAATACTTAATGTTGTGTAGTTCATACAGGCATATTTGTTATATAAAATGGAAATATTACTTGAATATTAACATTCATTATTTACAAATTTTGTCAATGAGATATTGGTATTGCATTTAAGAGATTTTAAACACTAAAATCGCAAAAAAAAAGTTCTAAAGTAAAGTTTCATAACTACGTTAAACTTCAGTAAACTATCGTAAATTTTTGTTATGGATTGCACAGTCTACCTTTTATCACATATATATTTCTTAAATGTACAATATTCTTCATTGCATAATACTCATATACTGCTTTATGCAAACTATTCTTTTACTGTGTAGTGCATTCCTTTATTGTATCATTTTTCTTTGATTATAAAGTATACTGTAATTGTACAGTATTATTTTATTGGACAATATTCCTTTATTATGCAATATTCTTTTAACCTGTGGAATTGTAATCCTTTATTGTAAAATATTTCTTTACTGTGAAACATTCCTTTATTGCACAATATTTCTTTATTGTGAAGCATTCCTGTAATGTACAATATTTCTTCAGATTTCTTCACTGTGAAGCATTCCTTTATTGTACAATATCTCTTCACTGTGAAGCATTCCTTTATTGTACAATATTTCTTTATTGTGTAGCATTCCTTTATGTTACAATATTTCTTCATTGTGAAGATTTCCTTTAATGTACAATTTGTCTTTGTTGTGAAGCATTCCTCTAATGTACAATATTCATTTATTGTGAAGCTTTCCTCTTGTACAATATTCATTTATTGTGAAGCTTTCCTTTAATGTACAATATTTCTTTATTGTAAAGCATTCCTTTAAAGTACAATATTTCTTTATTGTGAAGCTTTCCTCTTGTTCCATATTCTTTATTGAGAAGCATTCCTCTAATATAAATGTACAATATTTCTTTATTATAAAGCATGCTTCTATTGCACAATATTTTGTGAAGCATTCCTTTATTGTACAATATTACATCTTTATGGTGAAGCATTCCTCCAATGTACAATATTTCTTCATTTTAAAGCATACCTTTATTGCACAATATTTTGTGAAGCATTCCTTTATTGTAAAATATTTCTTTATTGTGAAGCTTTCCTCTTATGTACAATATTTCTTTATCATAAAGCATGCCTTTATTGTTCAATATTTCTTTATTATGTAACATTCCTTTATTGTACAATTTTTTTCTATTGTGAAGCATTCCTCTTATGTAAAATATTTCTTCATTGTTAAGCATGCCTTTATTGCACAATATTTTATGAAGCATTCCTTTATTGTACAATATTTCTTTATTGTGTAGCATTCCTTTACTGTACAATATTTCTTTATTGTGAAGCTTTCCTTTACTTTATTGTGAAGCTTTCCTTTACTGTACAATATTTCTTTATTGTGAAGCTTTCCTCTTGTACAATATTCTTTATTGAGAAGCATTCCTCTAATATTAATGTACAATATTTCTTAATTGTAAAGCATGCTTTTATTGCACAATAATTTGTGAAGCATTCCTTTATTGTACAATATTTCTTCATTGTAAAGTATGCCTTTATTGTTCAATATTTCTTTAATGTGTAACATTCCTTTATTGAACAATTTTTTTCATTGTGAAGCTTTCCTCTAATGTAAAATATTTCTTGATTGTGAATCATTCCTCCAATGTACAATATTTCTTCATTGTAAAGCATGCCTTTATTGCACAATATTTTGTGAAGCATTCCTCTAATGTACAATATTTCTTTGATGTGTAGCATTCCTCAAATGTACAATATTTTTTTATTATGAAGAACTACTTTATTGTACAATACATGTATCTCTTTATTGTGAAGCATTCCTTTATTGTACATTTTTCAACTTTTCCATACAGCATTCTTTATTGTAGAATATTTTTATATTGCACAATATTCCTTTATTATACAATATTTCCTCATTATACTATATTCTTTATTTTTTTTTATTGATAAGTATTCCTTTATTGTATGGTAATCGTTTACCATATATTATTCTGGTATTGATTCTTTTATTGTGTACTAATATTCCTTTATTGAATATCTTCTTCATTCACTAGTATTTCTTTTCCGTATTCCTGTATTGTATAGTTTTTGTTGTTGTTGTAAAGTAATCCTTTATTGAATATTCTTTCTAATTCTAAATTGTACTTATTTTGTAATCTTCTAGTGTACTTACTTTGTACTCCTATTTTGTACATTTATTTTCTTCAGTCTTAGGTATTTCTTTATCATTTAGTATTCCTTTATTGAAAAGTGACCCTACATCGTATTTTTTTTTTAAAATGGTATATTCATTCTTTTTTCTGTAAAGTATTCCTTTATTGTAAGGCATTGTATTATTATATGGTATTCCTTTACGGTCCAGTTTGCCTATTTCATAAGTATTCATTTCTTGTACTATATTTCTTTGTTGTGCAGCATTTCTTTATATCCTGGTAACAGAATCTATATATTCCTATAATGTACAGTACATCCCTTTTCCTCAATTTGTTAAACTTCCTTTCATCATTTTTCACAATTTTTCAATACTGCTTTGCATTTTCCTGTATTTTGCAGTCATCTATTCTCTGAATAGATTTGAATGCAATTTTTTAATTGTACAATTTTTATTTTTCCCATGCTATTACAGTGTCCATTGCCTCTATATTTCACTTTGCAATTTTTCTTTAATGTTAGGTTTTTCTTTCTTATAGTCACTCATTTCAGTACATACATATACTTCCTTTCTCATACAGTTCTCCTTTATTATAGTTTCTGAACCTTTTCCTTATCTTTCCTTCATCATTCAGGATCTACTTTTATTGTAGATCCTTTGTTCATTAATTCACAACTGCCTTCTGCCTTTCCTCTCCTATTAAGTTTTCCTATATTTTACAATTGGACAACAGTCTGAATCCCAACCAAAGCAGACTTGGAATTTTAAATTATGTAGCAACTGCTGCATTAAATTAGAAGGAAAGGGCATTGGTCTTTTGGAAGAGACATTAAAAGCCATGGGGCCTGTGTGGTAATAGGTGTCAGTAAAAATGATTTCTCACTGCATTGAGTCCTGAACACAAAACTAAATACAGCACAATATCTGTAGCTGGTGATGTCTCATTTTTCATGTAAAAATTTACAATGGAATATATTATAAAACCTAACAACTAGACTGTTTTATTTTCTTGTAGTTAATTTGTTGTTCAATTATCCTTTATTTTAATACATCCATCTGTCTTGTGCAGTCCTTATCTATGGCAGTCTATATTTTATCTCAATACATTTATTTTGAATTTTTTTTAATTGAAAACTTAGTGCTTTCAAGCTTCATTTACATCTTTACTATAAAAAAACAATTCTGATTCTTTCCATTCCTCATAAGTTGGAAGCATAGAAGAAGTTTAATTCGTAAGTTGACTTCAAGCTCAGCTAAGTCTCTGAAAAAACATCCTACCCATACTGAGTGACACGGCACCAGCCTTAAGTGGAGAACAGAATGTTCTGAACTTAGAGAGCAGTCTGTATCACACTAATAATTTCCAAGACATTTAAAGGCCCAAGACCTTAATTGTTTCAATTGTATGAATAATAACAAAAACTTCTTAAGCTGAACATTGTACCTATATAACAGTCTCTGATATAGTACAATCAGGGTTTGAGCCCACCAGCTTCTTATAAATTGAATGACTCCTCTTACAGTAAACAATATTTTGATAGGTACCGATATTCCTCACCTCTATGTTCTCGTCCCCGTGTCGTGAAATGGCCTCTTCCTCAGAGATACCCACAACCCCATACTCTAGGGGGGTAAACACTGTGGTCGGCACCTAAGGTCAATGTAATGTAAGGTCAGTGTCCTCAGACAGGGAAATTTTTAACTTTAAAACATACAAAGGAATTAGAAAACACTATTTATATAGAGATACTAACCAAATCATAATTCATCTGTACTTGACTACCCCCAAACAGCCTCTCTGCCAACAACTGTCCAGCCTTTATGGCTACTGGTGTCAGTTCTGGCCTTTTCTGGAAAGAGGTAATTTTATAAAAATTTTAATCAACTTTCGCATCTTTTAGAATTTCATATTCACAATAATGCCCATGGCCAAGGTTTAATTTTGTACACAGGTTGCCCTTAGTACAGTGTACCATGTGCGAGTCTCTATCTGTCATTCTAATGATAACAAAGCATCTCTCTTACTCTGTGTTAGAATGGAAAATAATTATGGCCATGCAAAACAAATAATTTTTGGATTAATTTTGTGTTGTTGTCACACAGATGAAATTGCTCTGATTTATTGTATTTCTACTGAAAAATTACATTTTATAACTGAAAACCTCCTTATATGTAATTGTTACAGGAAATATTTAAGATCTTGAATCACAATGTTATCTTTACATTAACTAAGCACAGTAACTGTAAATCAAGCATGAAACAAAATTTCTGGTGTTACGAGAGTGAATATTAAAGAAAAACGGCATTCCTGGTAAACAATTCAAAAATACAGGACAAACATGAATTTCCCCTGAATTCTTGTGTTCTGCCCTGCCCCATAAATGGGATAAATATGTGACATTTGTACAGTCAGTACATATCATATGTATGCCATGTGTTTACAGTACTTTGGTGACACTGACAAGATACTAATCTGTATGGATACCTTAAACAACTAGCAATGGTAGTAGACTTACATGTAAGATATCACCTATAGCATAAATATTTGGCACACTGGTCCTCTCATGGTCCTCTCCATGGTCCCCAATAACCTTCTGTGTCTCTTGGTCAATCTTTACTCCTATTCCTTCTAAATTAAGATTTCTCACCATAGCATGTCGTCCTGCAAAAAAGTTTCAGAAATACATGTTCAAAATTGTATCCTATTAGCAAAAGTCTACAGGAGGGAGGGAAGACACACACCTGTGGCAAACATGACTGTATCAAAGACTTCCTCTTTAATCTGTCTGTCTGTTAGATTTTCATATTTCACAACCAGTTGACCTCCAGTCGTCTTCTCTATGCTGACTGGAACACAGGTCTTCAGGAATCTTGTGCCTTTTGACTCCATGTAATCAGTGACAAGACTGGCCATTTGCTGCAATAGGAACCAATCATCAATAAGGTTTTGAAAATAAAAATAACAGGAGCTAAGCACAAAATGAATTTAATTTATTTGTTTACATAACTTTTCAGATATCTTTATTATAAAGAAGAAATGGGAAAGGAACTAAGAGAGATAATTGGTATAGGTGGATGATTTACCTGATCAAACTGCCTTAGAGGTCTGGATCGAATCATTACTGTGGTGTCTAGCCCTAAACCAATTAGAAAACCACCACACTCTAAAGCAATATCTGACTTTGTTAAGTTGTTTTATGAATATGTTTAGGATCTATTTTTTAAGTGATTGCACACCATGGCATTTTAAAAATTTATCAGGAGTGGTCAGAAATCTTCTAAAGCCAAAAGATGCCAATAAAGTAAAAAAAAAATCAACAAATGCACTGGTCTCTGTTTAATATAATTCAAAAGTTCCTTGATCTTTCATTTATTTAAGGATACAGCTAGCACCTACAATCAATCTGAAAGTATACACAAAAAATATGTTTTACATGAAAATACAAGTGCAAAATATGAACCACAATCTTTAAAAGTGAGAACCTGCTCAGGTATTTCTGTTCAGATCTTCCTTACATCTTTCCTGGAGATTTCTTCAACCAAAATAGGTCATCACTTGATATGGCATACTCCAAAGCACCGGGTATCTGAAAATTTATAGGAACAAAAGTTACACAAAAAATCAAGTTTTTATTGCAAGAAGTAGACTGCTTGAAGAAGAACTTGAAAATGAACCCTGACCCACCTGAGGTGGGAGATAAAGTCTGGCTTCTACTGATCTGACCCTGACCCACCTGAGATGGGAGATATGGTCTGATTCCTACTGAACTGACCCTGACCCACCTGTGATGGCAAATAAGGTCTTTCTCCTACTGAACTGACCCTGACCCATCTGAGATGGGAGATAAAGTCTGACTCCTACTGAACTGACCCTGACCCACCTGAGATGGGAAATAAGGTCGGACTCCTACTGCTATCACAGTATTCTTGGTCTTCAAAAGTTTCTATAAAAAATAATTATTGCTAAATAAATAGATTAAGATTTTATTTTTTAAGCTTCCATAAATAGTTACAAAACAATTTTAAAAATACAATACAATAACAACTTATTTTTCTGTGTGATTCTTTATATATCTTGATGTGTACCAGTTTTTCTTTTTCTTTGCATACTGAAAATTCCATTTGATTTCTACTTCTTTTAAAGATATGATACAATCATCAATATCACTTTCAAACTTTTTATTTCTGGTTAACTGTCCTATGTTCTCTCTCTTTTTTTAACCTGTGACACAGCTGAATGTTATAACTACCTCTGTTCCTCTGTTGTCTGTAACTTGAACTGTCTGTGTGTCTACAAATCTCCCTAATCCATTTATGTACTCTACACCTCTGTAATAAAACGTACTGATTAATAATAAACATTTTATATGTACTTCTCAAAGGGTTATGATACAGATTCTAGTACTGTAAATGTACTTTTTTTCCATGGGTCATAATTCTGCAAAATTAGAATCTGAGTTTAATCTAGGGTATAAAATTATGCAGACTTCTTCGATTGCCATTTAACTTCTCAAAGGCTCTTTAAGTACACTGTGATAAATTTCCGCAGAAAATTTGTGACCACACACAGAATGAAATTTAATCCCATGTGGGAAAAAGTGTCTATATGCTTTAGTGCCTATATGCTGTAGTGCCTAATTGCTGTGATCTATATGCTGTAATGTCTGTATGTTGTACTTGTAGTGTGTGTATGCTGTAGTGTCTCTATGCTGTGGTCCTCAACACTTTAGTCTCTAAATGTTGTAGTCTCTATATGTTGTGATCTCTACATGTTGTAGTCTCTATATTCTGTGATCTCTGTATGCTGTGATGTCTATATGCTGTAGTGTTTACATGTTGTGTAGTTTTTATTGCTGTAGTCTCTATATGTTGTAGTGTTTATATGCTGTAGTTTTTAGATGTTGTGTAATGTTTATTGCTGTGTAGTGTTTATTGCTGTAGTCTCCTTATGTTGTAAACTCTGTATGTTGTGTAGTGTTTATTTGCTGTAATCTCTATATGTTGTAGTGTTTATATTCTGTAGTGTTTAGATGCTGTGCAGTGTTTATTGCTGTAGTCTCTTTATGCTGACCTGTGGGTGTCAGAGACTTACTTGTCCCTGAGCTGTACCCTGTGACCCCAGTTTAAGGATTTCACATGATTCTGCACAGCAGTGGACAGTGTTGCCCTGAAAAAAAATTTAGTCCTTTGAATGGAAAAAAATACCATATTATTCATCTTATGATGAATCACTTCTCCCCTATTACTGTAATTCTGATGCTTTTCTCCACTATTATAAGTCTATATCTGTTTTTGCTTTATTGCACAAATAAACAGCTACATGTAGCATTGAATTTTTTTTTTTTTTGAGATTTAGGTGTTTAGCTGACATTCTTATCTGCTAAGCATTTTTAATTTTTGCTTATTTTTGAATTACCAGTCATTCTGGACTTGGTCTGGAACACTCCAACCATAGGCTTTAGAATCTTTAATGGCTTCCCCCAGGAGAGATGCATGGTGCATCAACTTCTTTGGAATACACCCCACATTGACACAAGTGCCTCCTAAGCCCCATGTTGTCCCTAGAAATGTTACATGGTACAGGTATTCATTACACTCTGTATATTTATAGTTATATAATTTATCAACACTAAAATATTTGTTAGAACCAAAATAATATATGTCAATCCCTTATTACAATTGTAAGGTGATCTAACCAATATCATCCAAGAACACTATCATTAATACAGGACTAGAATACTATTACTTTGAGATTTGTTTTTATATTAACCTTGAGTAGAAGGAGTCACAAAATCCAACACTGCTACCTTCTTTTGAAGCTGGGAGGCTAAAACAAATAAAAAGTGTTGTCAAATAGAACAAAGCAAAATAACACATTTATAAAAATCTAGTGTTTTTTTTTTTTTAGATAAATCTTGCTACAAATAAAATCTTGCCTGCTTTAGCACAAGCTAGTCCTCCTGAACCCCCACCAATAACAACAAGATCATACTCTTCTGTTGAAGAACCTGTCCAAAGAATAAAACTCCTAATTTAATCCTTTTTACATTAGTTAATATTATCAAACATTGTTATAACAAATCATACAACTGCATTTAATAAGGTTAATATATTGAAGTCTCATAACAAGTTAATCAGATCTAAATGATATTATCCTGATATGAAAGAATATGGGGAAAAAATTTGGCCGAAGTATTAAACTTGATTAGTAAAAGTTGTGATATATATTACATGTATTGTAACATTTCATGATTTGTATCTTGATCTTTAATGGAGAGAACTAATATAGGCCATTTTTGCCTGCTGTTCAATCCATGTTCATTGTATATACTTCTATGTATATCATGAATAAAATACTTCTTAAACTAAACTTGATTAGTACACTAACTATTGGCATCAGATTATGAACAAATCTGTCAAATTTTATCCCTTCTGTAACAGAAACAATCAAAAAGTTCAGCAAGTATATGTATTCAGTAACTCTAAATATTAATTAGCAGAGTTTATATTTTATATCAATTTTGCATACCAGCAGGGACCTATATACTGTTACATGATACCAACAAGCTGCATTTGCATTGAACAGTAGGGAGGAACACATTAATATGAAACACTGGGAGAAATTATGTCTTCTAAAAATAAGGTGTTCACTATCAAGACATTTTTTCAGTCAGAAAATTTATGATTTATTACCCCAACATTTGAAAAACTGCCCTTAATACACATACATGTAAATTTTTGTTGTTGAATAATTAAATACGCAAGATATACAGTATATGTATTCATAAAATAATTCATTCACCATTTAGTCCTTGTACAATTTATCAGTTACATGTAATGAAAAGACTAGCATAGAGAATATCATCCTTGCAATGCCAGACGTTCCTGAGTCAACACATTGCCGTGGGACCCCTGGCCAATTTCATTCAATATTTTAGGTCTTGTTTCCCTCATTGAGAAGCACCAATCAAATTAAAGCTTTCATAAATAGTTAGATAATGTAAATAGAAAGGATTCAGTTGACACAGACTTGTTGAAATCCGTCGCTCCTGTCGGCAAGGCCGGTAAAAATTTGTCTGGACCGACAACTTTTAAGAAAACGTCGGTCCAGATGACCGTTTGAAAAAATCGAGCGTGATGCAAATTTAATAAAGCTAGGGATCGGGATGCGCAGCTGAAGGTCACAAACACAGAAAAATGGCCGCGTACACGGCGTGTTGACGATATCCAATTAAATTTGTTATAGCAAAGTCATAAAACATGTCATTTATGTCTTTTTTTAAAGACTTTTAAGACTGAAGGCTGTTGCAAATAACCCAAGGCATTTTAGTGCTGTTATTCATATGACTTTCACAGTGTCAAAATAAGGTACATGTATCTGGTCTGACAAAACTTTGACTGGTCCGACAGAACATTTGACTTTGTCAGACCAAATGTCTGACAATGATTTAAAAATTTTGACAAGTCTGTTGACACCTCAAATGCACATGTTACAAGCTGTTTATCATAGAATGGCCTAATGTGATTGGTTGAGAGATAAGAAAAACAATCAAGATTTGTAATTTTTCTGAAAGACGTCACTACAGTCAGCCCATGAACTGTCGAATGAAATTGGTCAGGGGTTCAATGGCAACGTGTTGAATGAGGACCCCTGGCATTGCGAGGATGAGAGAATATTTGTGACAAGCAGAGTGAATCATGAATCAATACTTTTCTCTGGCTAGAAGATCTATGGTGGGGCTGACAAGTTTTATCAGCAGTCAGCCCCGTGTGTTTAGCTAATTTTACAGTGAATTTCAAACACTGGTGATGCACTCATACAGCAACCTTTTCTTACCATATGTTACAATTTTAACATAATCTACATAAGTTTAAACTCAGATTCAAAATCTTAATTTACTTGGTTAGAGAATCATAATTTTTTTTATATAAAAAGGTATAGATGTATTGCATGAATTCAATTCACGGGTTTCTTATCTATATGCCAAGGAAAACCAGGGACCTATATACAAAGTACAAAACATTACAACAAATAGGACAGGAATGATCATGTACAGTCATGTAATCTGAGATTCCTTATATTGTATAATTTGCACCTCCTTAATTATGGTTAGTACAAATATAACTTTTTTTTTTATCTGAGCGTCCTAGTTTCTAAATTATTATTCAGTCATGCAACAGGTGTGTAAACAAATGTTGTAGACTTTTTCCTATCCGGATCTAAGGACCTTAAGTTAAGAAACTCTGAACTTTCGAAAATATTTTCTTACTTTGGAGAAATCTCAGTTGTCTATAGTGTCTAAAAAGCCGTTTTAAAATGAACGTTCTTGGGTGTTTATTTACAATCATGATTTCATGGGCGCAGACATTTTTTTCTCTCTCTGTAAGTCGAACCCGATAGGAAAAGAAAATAATGACTTTCTGGTACGAAGCTATTTTTAAAATCCTTGAAACTAAACTTTGTAAAAGCGTTTTAAATCTTTTTGGAGATTTTATTTCTTCTACAGAATTAAAAATGATTAATATCATGATAGTGATTTTTTTTAAAAAAAATGATTTTCACATAGGCACTAATCATCAAATTATTGAAAATAAAATTGAGTGAAAGTGCGGAAATATTATTTAGATATTGCAACTCTTTATTTACGCTCGATCGTAATAACACATATTTAATATAATGATTAGAGCTGAAATATATTATCATCATTAGACTCAATTTAATTTAAAATGCACGGTGTATGACACGTGCCTAATTAATTATCGTAAAAACATAATTAAGAGAGGTAAAGTATTACTAAGTGACTATTACAGTACATGTATTTAAGCACAGTTTCTTTATCTTCACAATCAAACAGAAACATCATTTAAAATATATAGAGAGAACAGAATTAAAAAAAGAGAAAGTATGGAGCTCGATCTAATCAGACAAGACGGTAATTTAATAATTTCAATTAAAAAAATATTCATATAAACAACTACAGAAAGTTAAAATTTTCATGGGATATGATGATTTTTTTAAATATCATTTCTGAAGTGCCACTTACCCTTATCAGATTACAGTTGGTGGCATCTGATAAAAATCTAGGCCTCACTAACTGTCGACACAGTTTGCCATTAACACAAACACACAACTTGTTTGTTTACATGTTTCATTGTCCACATGGAATGTGACAAGTCCCTAAAATGTTAATATTATTTTTGTGGCCTAAAAAAGAAAACATTGATGTAAAACAAGGATAACATGACTGATTTCACTTTATACTCGTTCTTGTAGATTTGTGTAGTTTTACTGATTATGTTAATAGTGATTTTCATTCTTGAGAAATCAATACGAGCAGAGGTACTTTTCTTAAACTTTAATATTTCGATCGTACTAGTAGAGATACAATATTATAAGGACACCAACTGGAAAATGGGTTACATAGATGAAGGTATTTTACATTTTATTATCCACTCTATCTGTGATACCAATTTCGTTTTTGAACAGTAAAAATATTAATTTGAACTACAATTTTACTTGGTTTCTTGGTTTCTCGTCAGTAAGATTTTTATTTTACAATTTATTGTAGGCGATTTTTGGGCCCAGGACAAAGATTCGAATCCATTTGTTATGGTACTGAAGAACCGGTACGAACTCTGCGAAGATCTCAAATACGTCATTTCCGTTCCAGATCTCTGTGATGTTACGTTTCTGGTTGGACCGGAAAAGATCCCCGTGTATGGCATTCGAGCTATTTTGGCTACCCGCAGCAGGTACATTAAACATTAATGATTTTAATAATCAAAATTACCACAAGTTTAAACAGAATTTAATGTATCTGTGCTCTGCGATTATTAATAACACCTTTTTTATTTAAAGACTGATGTACCAGATGATTTTGAGAAGTCGAAACCAAACAAATACTGTGGTAAAGGAAAGGTCCACACTTAAAAAGGGGATCCAGTCAGTAAAGAAGGTGCTGGTCAGAAAAAAATCTATCCCTCAAAAGGAGAAACCCCACACACAAAGCGTCACAATTGAGATAAAGGACTTCGACGTCAGCGTTTTTGAGCGTCTTATGCGTTACATCCACTGCGGAGTTGTTTCTGTGGACGCTAGAACTGTCATTGGTAAGATATGTATTATATCAAAATTATTTATTATTTTCTGTGATCCTGATTTCATAACCAATTTGCAATTTAATTTCTTATTCTTTTTTAACATTTTCATTTTTGCAGTAAATTTGGAATAAAGTTGTTCTGAACTAAAAATAAATATAATTTTGTTATTTGTGTTTCAGGAATGATCAATGCTGCAAGAATGTTTGAGTTTCCGGACCTCCACACGGCCTGTTGGGAATTTGCAATGGAATGTTTGCGTTCCGATACCTTACCACTGCTAATAGAAGGAGCGACTCAATATAGCCAATTCAAGGAAACACGAAAACTAATGCAAAGGGTAATAAAAATAGGGGAGGGGCAAACTAGCTCATCGATAATCAAAGAATGTTAACGAAATGCAGTATTTTAATCTGGTGAAATAAATAAAATTTAGTCTTTTAATTTTTTTTCGAACAAGGAATTCATAATCTTGAGACAAGTACAAGTTTTCCCTTCTTTTTATTTAACTTGTTTTACTGATTTCTTCCGAAACAGGTGCTATCCTACCTCGGGGAATCCCCTGACGTCATCCAGTGCTGCCTGGAAATACAAAATTTGATTCCCCTGCGTTCGGATGAGTATATGTGTTAGTTTACAGAGGTCCAAGAACAACTTCAGAAAAACAAGTGCTGTGACAGTACGAGAGACACACAACATTCTACAGAAATTCGAAAATTGCCCAATCAACGGTACTGAAGAACATTGAAAACTCTTATGATTACTCATATCATTGTGTTGTCACAAATATGTGCCAAAATCCAAAATAAGTAAAATGTATATATTGTGCATAACTATTTATTTATTAATAAATATAAACTTTTTAAATCAGTTTTTAATTATTTTTAATACTCGGGATTTATGTAAATTCAAACAGAAATAAATACAAGATAAAGGGAAATCGATTTGAAAAGAAATGGTGTACTTCACTCAGAAAAAGCAATAATGAAATAATTTATAGAAAAAGTTTACCATACCCCCCCCCCCCCCCCGATTGAAAGTCAAATACAAATAACCAAGTCATAAAACTAAAGTTAGCATATAATTACAATATCATTGAATATGGAGTTGACGGCAAAAAAAATTTTGAAAGGTAAAATAGAATTCAAAAACTTTTTTTTAAAAAAAATCATATGCAAAATAATGACAGGTATAGCTTGTTGAATTAAATTCTGTGCACGATTAAACCGAAACTAGTACTCGACAAGCAGGAAGATAAATATAAACAAATTCCCGGAATCCCTCCAGCGTTCGCGGAAGAACAAGGCAGGGTTCAGGAAATCAGAACAACAAGTGACCGGACAAGATAGTAAGTAACAGCTTTCTAACTCTTCATTTTTACAGCTTCTCTTTTCCTTTAATGTTTTTCACAATGTCGGTCGCTAACCCTGCAGAGAGGCTCAAAGGGGGGGGGGGTTATACCTTCTGAGTAGGTGGGGTTTATAAATTTTCTTATTCGTGTAAATTTAATTCTGTAATGTTACAAACATGTTTATGTAGCCTCTTGACGTGAATATACTAGAGAAGCAAAATTAACCGCAAGATAGGCTGTACTAGACAGCTAGCTAGGCGCGGATCTAGAACATGTACAATATACATGTAATAGTTAATCACGTTATTTTATACTAATAAACAAGACTTGACTGACTCCCACAAAGATAATCATTCTCTTCCTTAGTGGACATTCTCTCCTAAAATGCATTGATTAATGATATTCTTCATATAGGAATAGGGTAGTAAAGAATGAGCTATTGTGTATTTATACCATAACCACGAATTGAGATTTATGGAGTTATCCCGCTTTACACGAGAGAGAGAGATTAGATAGAAACCATCCAGTCAATCAATCAGACAAGACCAGTAGAAAATCTCAGTGAAAGGTTTTACGATTTATTGAACATACACTTCCATTCGAAAATGTAGGAATCTCGGGGGGGGGGGGGGAGGGGGGGGTTAGAAGCACTTTGGACACTTAAGCTTCTCTGCACCAAAATCCAAAGTAAATGAGATGGCCATATGCTATTAAGGACATTGGCAAGTCAGGGTTATCCGGAGAAAAAAGGTTTAATACATGGGTTTTTTCACTTGTAAAATAGTGATTGAGAGTGATCTCCCGTGTAGAATTCTCTAAGCGGTGAAAACCAGTAAAGCGTATGTTATAGAGGTAAACAAAAGCACGTGCACTTCCTTCAACGGGTAGAATCATCTATACAGCAAGATTGAAAAGTAGTAATGGCTTTGTTGTACATTGTATTCAGGGACAAAGAGCAAACAGGTCGTCATTTACCATAGTTATGCTCAGTATGCTGGGAAGGGCAAAGATGTGACATATGCTGAAAGGTAGGTCGACCATGCCGACTGAGAACAGTTCTTAGGTCGTGTGAAGGAATCAGCATTTAGTAATTACGAATAAAAGTTAAAAATAAATCCATGCCAATATTTTTATGACAACGTGTTTCAATCAATTCAGTCAATTACATGATAAAAACAATCAACCAGTCACTTGACCAATTTTAGCTGTTAAGGGACGCAACTCAAAAATGATGATCGGTGCCGGTGTATCCATGTCTTTTTTCTATATATACATTTTCAACCAAAATATCTAGAAGTCATAGGAAATGAAGTTACAATAATGTATATAATACAAAAACTGTATGAAATAAATGGGTTTTGAAGAAATATTATGGTAAAAAATTATGTAGGTCCCTTTTATCAACATTTTACATAGGAAATGCATTAAGAATTGTAAAAACACTAATTTGACAAAATCTAAAAAAGAATGCTGGATTGGTAGGTAAAACGATCCAGAATATAGCCTATTTAGTACATTTAAACCTACTCAAAAGTTCTTGAAAAATTCTATACAATAACCAGGAACCTTGCCAATGTCCTTAATATTTGTTAGTAAAATCTAAAACTTTAAAAATTAACGTGTTAGGTTTAAGTGTTTGCATCAAGTACATATTGTACATTTTTACAATTATTTAGAAAGACTTTTATACGGTCACCTTCATAATTTCTGCTGCACAAAAAGGCGAAGTAACACCCCGCCTGTTAAGGAGGTTCGATCCTGAGTTTTTGAGCAGATTTTGGTCTGGACCTTATTTCTAAAATTCTGCATCATTTCTGAGTTCTAACATTAAATCTGGACTCTAAAATGCAAATTAAACTATATTCAATGAAAAAAACGCGATTAAATTCCATTCAAATAGGATTAAGTCAGGAACTATATTTTGTGGCGGAAGGTTTTTTAGATTGATTGATTGATTGATTGATTGTGTATTGTTTTACGTCCCATTCGAGAATTTTTCACTCATATAGAGACGTCACCATATACCGGTGAAGGGCTTCAAATTTTGACCTTTACTCGGCACTCAGGGCCATTGAGCAGTGAGGGATCTTTATCGTGCCAACGCCTGCCGTGACACGGGGCCTCGGTTTTTAAGGTCTCATCCGAAGGACCCGCAACTTTCACTTCAAAGTGCCGAGCGCATGGCGAAGGAACAGTTGCTACCTATTTTTTATCGACTTAGGTCTGTCGCGGCCGAGATTCGAACTCACGACCTCCCGATCACGGAGCGAGCGCTCTACCGAGTGAGCTACCGTGAACGGTGAAGGATTTTTAGAAGAAAATGATCAATTTTATCCTTTTGAAATATATACAGTACTGTTAAGTTCAGATTCCTATTTTTCCATGCTGGTTGCAAACAGAGCTGTTTTTTGCAGTGAAGTGTTTTATGCTGGTTCTGAAATATCTATCAAATTATTTCTTTTGAATTCTTTCATTATATTGTGACAAATATAGTACATGTATATATATTCTGAAAGTCCAGGAAAAAATTGAGCCAATTTTAACACGAAATTAACACTTTTTTAGTAATATCTAAAAATTTACATCATAGACCCCCACTTTTGTTTTTCTTTTCTTAATATATAAGATAACTTTGATCAATCTGCTTAAATTCAGCAAAAGTGTAAGACTTTAAAACAATTTTCTTGCTTGTTAAATTTTTAATGCCAGAAAAATCACCTTTTGTGAGTGCAGAAAGGTCAAATAATTGATTATGCGAAGCAATTTAATTTTTCTTAGTCACAATTTAAATGTGTCTTTTTTTAAATAGACTAATAGTTTATTTTGCCCCATGATTTATTTGGATAAAACATTGGAGGAAAAATATAGAAGATGTGATTTTTGATTAAGATACAAATTTCAGTGCAAAAAGGTCATATTAAATGTACTGTAGCGCCAAAAGAAGCATATTGACCCCCATTTTTTGTTTTGATTCTTAATTAAGCTATGTGTGTAGAAACTAAAAATATACTTGACAAAAAAAGTTTAAGACTTTAAATATCAGGATCCAACCTCGTTAAGAGCATACAAACTACACAAATCTTTAACGATTTCTGGAGTTTTGCCTTATTTTTTGTGACCTCAAACAATAAGAGTTCTGAATTTTGGTAAATAAAGTAAAATTAAAATAAATATTGTCCTCATTTTATTGCGGAAATTCTTGAAATTTTAGAGAATCTGAAAATAAGTGTTGCATGAAGCTTAACTTGTCTTTGAGAGCTTTTCTTAAAATTAGTTATAAGTTATTGGCCCCGGCCCAATTATAATATAAGAAATTTAATTTGCTACTTAGTTCTCCCAATATTAAGAACTCTTGCCAAATCAGTCATTTTGGACTTGCGCCTCCCTGCAAAGTTAAAGAAATGACAAGAAGTTGATTACGAGAATTTTCCACCAATCGACATTTTCTGCCCCCCCCCTTTCGACGATAAGGAATTAAGTTAGTGATCTCTAAATTTTGAACCTGTCTGTCATTTCATACAAGTAAGATGAGAGAAATATACACCTACAGAATGACAAAAAAGGAGACCGCTTTAACATCCCGGTCATTTCATGGTTGAAGTGTTTCAATTCATCTAAACATTCTTTTTTCTCAATAGAAATGTTGAAGCACCGGAGTTAACATAGCTATCATACTTATCTAAGTTATCTATAGGTAGAAAGAAACTTCTCCGTAGAAATGCACGAAATATATTAACAAATTTAATACTGATTAAGAAAAAATTGAAAAGAATTGGACAGTTACTTTAGGAATGACTCTTATTCTTGGGCAAATTATTCGAGTATAACCTGGTTTGGGTCAGTTTACGCTTTATAATCGATATCCGCGAAGCGGATTATAAAACAGCGTAAACTGACCCAAACCAGGTTATACTCGAATAATTTGGCCAAGAATTAGAGTCATTCCTTATAATTTAATTTTAAAATCATTAAAAAACTAAGGGTGTAGAATTTCGTTGCTTTTTGTTAGTTCAAATTTGCCGCTCAATAATACAACCGTAGTAACGGAAGTAATGGGAAGCGAGGGGAGGTAAAAACTGATACATAGGCCTAGCGGCAGCCTTGTTGCTAAACGACTTCCGGTTGCATGGCGTGAGCGGTACAAACATCTACAAGCGGGAGATTGGAAAAAAAAATCGTCCATCATCGACTTATTTTGACCACTCAAAGACGGTAGATATATATATATTTTGCGTTTCTGTACTTTTATAGAAATTGATGTAAAGTATTTGAAACATGGGTGGCAATAACAGGAATCA